TTTCCCTCCTACAGTTTTTACCTGACTTCAATAAAATTTGGTACACTTTTAAAGTGTACTAAGATACACAATTCTTTAATTTAGTTTTTTATTTCAATGAACAGTGTTGCCATGGTTACAAAATAGCAATTTTGAGAACGGGACTTCCTAACAAAACATGGGTATACTATATTCAGCAATTTTCAAATCGTTTTCCTTCCTACAGTTTTTGCCTGACTTCAATAAAATTTGGTACACATGTAAAGAACACTAAGATACAAAATTCAATATTTTAGTATTTTTATTTCAATGGACAGTGTTGCCATGGTTTCAAAAATAGCAATTTTGAAAAGGGAACTTTCTAACAAAACATGGGTATATTATATTCAACGCCATCGTACACATTAAAATTACAAATATCAACGTTACAAAAATTGACATATATTAAACGTTGGTAGAAGGGAGAGGAGGAGGGATATTGCTGAACATTGTATCTAATTCATTTGTTAAATGTTGATTTGATGTCCGCGGAATCATGCGAGAAAAGATCTCGCCTTAAATACCCGATTTTTTTTTCTTTTTGGAAAACTCATGTGTTCTAGAAAAAACAATATTAATGCCCAGTCGTTTTTGACATCAAATGGTCCCCCATTTACTTTAAGTAGAGTTTTATCACTGAATAAAATTACTTGCCTAGTTCCAGAGACCTGCATCTGAGAATTCACAAGACCCTGATATGTACTCAAACATACAATATCACTAGTTCATCATTAAGTTTTAAAAGAAGGCCATGGAGAGAGTATGGCAAAGAACAAGGCACACTAACTCTTGATTCCAGCCTATATTTTACACCCCTTTATTCAATAAAAATGACAATTTTGCCATTATTATTTTTTTTTTATTGCAAACAAGAGTTCACTAGTCATTGAATTATATAACTGTCATATTGTAATTTTTGAATTTACCGGATGGAAGTAAATACAAAATTACAATATTACAACTTGTCATATTGTAATTTTTAGTTCACTTGAGCTGAAGGCTCAAGTGAGCTTTTCTGATCAAAGAGTGTCCGGCGTCCGTCTGTCGTCTGTAGTCCGTAAACTTTTCACATTTTCGACTTCTTCTCAAGAGCCACTGGGCTAATTTCAACCAAACTTGCCACAAAGCATCCTTGGGTGCATTTAAGTTTGTTCACAGGAAGTGTCGTGCCCTCTTTCAAGGGGAGATGATTAAGAATTCGTGAAAATTTGGTGGCTTCTTTTAAATATCTTCTTCTCAAGAACAACTGGGCAAGAAAAGATGAAACTTGTGTGAAAGCTTCATGACATACTGTAAATTCAAATTTGTTCAAAGACATATCATGACCCCCGGGGTAGGGCAGGGCAGCAAGAGGGGGTCGAAGTTTTACATAGGAATAAATAGGAAATGTCTTTAAAAATCTTCTTCTGTAGAACAGCAAAGCCATGATTAGTCATATTATAATAGAAGTATCCTCAGGTAGTGTAGATTCAAGTCTGTTCAAATCAAGACCCCCACGGATAGAGCAGGGCCACAACAGTGGGTCAGAGTTTTACATAGAAATATATAGGTGTAATGGTTAAGGGGCATTCAAGTAAAATGCATTGAAGACCTGAAATAATGGAATGACCTGGCAACCCTTGGAATGGACTAGCCAAACCAAAGGGTATATATAAGCCAAAGCTTTGGGAAAGTCAGGCATTCAGAAGCTAGCAGAAGTTGGATGCTGAATCAGCAATAAAAAAGTTAAGGTATTCCATCCCTAATATCAACAGATTCAATGAAATTGAATACACGACAGATATGTAGGTGTTTAATACTCAGTATATTTATACATAATTCCCATTTATTACTATTAGCATATAAGGGTGGGATGTGTCCTAATTTATGGCCTTGAATTTTGGTAAGGGTTATCTCCATCTGTTTTTATTCAAAAATTCAATTATAAAAAAACTTATCTGGTAAAAAAAAAATCGTTTTCAATTGTCATTCTATTTCTAATGTTTTATACATCTTTCCACCACAGTATTTATTAATATTCTTTTTATTTGAATATTTATTTTTAAAAGAAAAACCACTTGTCCCCTTAGACTTCAGTGCAATCTTTTGTTGATTAATTACTGCTTAGTTAATTACATTTTTGAAACTTTCTTTTGATAAATCCTTTTCTACTATAAAATGCTTTTACATAGGAAATATCTTTAAGATCTTCTTCTCAAGAACCACTAAGCCATTATTAGTCATATTTATAAAGAAGCAACCTTAGGTATTGTAGAATCAAGTTTGTTCAAATCATGGGGGCACAACAGAGGGTCAATTAAGTTTTGCATAAGGAAAAATATAGGAATCATCTTGAAAAAAATCTGCTCAAGAATAGCAAAGCCATGATTAATCATATTATTATAGAAGTATCCTTTGGTAGTGTAGATTAAATAAAATTTGTTCAAATTTAGGGTGGGTAGTGTTGGGCCACAATGAGAGATCAGAGTTTTACATAGGAAAACATAGGATTGATTGATTGTATGTTGTTTTACGTTCCGTACAAGAATTTTTCACTCATATAGAGACTTCACCATATACCGGTGAATGGCTTCAAATTTAGACCTTTACTCGGCACTCATGGCCATTGAGCAGTAGGGGATCTTTATCGTGCTTACGCCTGCCGTGACATGGGCCTCGGTCATTAAGGTCTCATCTGAAGGACCCGCAAATTTCACTTCAAAGTGCCGAGCGCTTGGCGAAGAAACAGTTGCTACCTATATTTTTTTTTTTATCGAATTAGGTCAGTCGCGGCCGGGGCTCGAACCCCTTACCTTCCGATCACAGAGAGAGAGCTCTACAGAATGAGATACCATGACAGTGGAAAACATAAGAAAAAAATCTTTAAAATTCTTCTGTTTAAGAACAGCAAAGCCATGATTAGTGATAATGATATGGAAGCATCCTGGGGTAGTTTAGATTAAAGTTTGCACCCCCCCCCCCTTCAATACTGAACTGATTACTGCTTCTTCCTAGCCAATGAGCTCAGGTGAGCGATGTGGCCCAGCCTCTTATTGTATTTACTACCACCCGCTAAATTCAAAAATTACAATATGACATTATTAATCCCAGTTTTAAACTGTTCATTGCTCTTAATCACAACTCTTTTTATAAGGTTTCTAGAAGATGTATATCCATTGAAATCAGGCTTTAAAACATCAAGAGATTTTCAAATAGTACTCAGATTTTAAAGTACTCAAAGACATGGATAAATGATCCTTCATTTTTTCCATATGTTTAACTCATGTAATTTATCTGTAAACATACCCCCCACCCCCACCCTCAGGAACAACAAGAGCTTTGGTATGAATTTGTTAAATAATAATTCAAAATTGCTGTAAAAAGGAAAGGGAGATGTTTTGAAAATATCTTCCGTTGATTTCTATAGTGAAAAACATGTTTTTCCAAATTTATAGAGCGTAGGCATAGTTTCCAAATACTTCTGATTGTACTTTCATTAACATTTTTCCACAGCTTTTAGAAGATAGTAAAATGGCGGTTTTTATATTCAAAAGCGCATTTTCCTATTTTCGCGCGATGTTCTGGCAAATATTTTACATACTCGCTCCGTTTTATTTTTGTTGTATCAGAAGATTCAACTTTTCAGTTTCTTCAATACACATACTTGTAATCCCGACTAATCTGTAAAGGATTAGGCAATGAGGGAGAATTTGTTAGTTTATCCCAAGTTTTCCATTTTTATCCAGTTTGATATAGACTTGTTCTTAACTCTGTGAACACTGCAAAATGAATTTAACACGAACAAAGAAACCTGAGTTTTTTGTGTGTTTATTCAGAAATTATTTCTATATATATATAGCAATCTGATTAAAATCAGCTGTTTGTTTGGCTATGTTTACGGCGTACGACGTAGTACTTTTGATATATTTTTTCATTGTGACAGTTTTTTTTCATCTTTTAATCATTAAAAAAGGATAACTGTGTTATCTATCCTGTCGCTCTAATAAAAATGCACCTTTCCTTTCAAGTACACCAAATACTAAAAAAAGATTTATAATTTTTTTTCATTTTTCAATAATAAATCTGAAGATTAAGAAAATGGTAAGGATGATATTTAATTATCTGATTAATTATTTCTACTACATGAAGGACTGACACAAAATTCGACAGGGATTTCTGATACAATGGGTGCACGCAATTGGGGTGTTGGGTGAAAGACTATTACTAGATGCATATAATATATCTCCCAAAGCTATGGAAAATTCCTTTTATTACATGTTTATGGCTCAAAACGTGTCGAACACTAACTCTTCTTTACAAATAATTCATTTTTAAGAAAAATAAATCTGTTCCATATATCAAAAGAGCCAGTTTGTTTTACACTGAGCTCATGAACGATTTCATTGTGCATGTAAAACGTCAAATGACGTCATAGTGCATTTTGTGTATTTTACTCGTAAAAGTTCCAACATTCAACAACAAGTATCTCTGTAACGGATGTATGTACCTTATAATGTGCGGAATAAAAAATGTAGGGCATATTCCAGGCTTTTAGGTTATGGCATTCATTTTTTATTTTATTGTGTTTGTAATTTAGATAAAGCCAACAGAAGATAGCACAAAATCAGTCATTTATGCGTAGATTTATCAACTTCCTGCAATGATATGCAATATTCAATTCAAGTTTATGATAATTTCTCAACATCGCACAGAAAAATTTTGAGTAGAAAAAATGTTTAGTTTTTTTCTCTAGTTTCAGAAAATATCAATTGTTTTGTTGTAACCCGAATATTTAGAAAACGCCAACAGTTAAATATCTGTGATGCTGAAAATGCGTCCAAATGCGTCTCTGGGGGTTAAAGGGTTAACAGATTATTGCTTTAAAATGAATCCTACAGACTGTTTTTAATTAGTATGTATAGAAACCATATTTTCTAAGCTGTCAATCGTATTTTTTTTTACTACAGCTCTTATTACAACTTAGTTTTTTTCAAAGGCTTTCAATTTGTTTATTAACAACATTTTATATGTTGTACATATGTATTCAATTCCATACATCAAGCATAATATGACCTGCACGAGTACATTGTGTATTCTCAATATAATATATAACATATATATGCCATGAAAAATTACTATATTATGATGTTAGTGATTATTCTTCCGATTAAAATTGTCGGTAGAATCAAAATATTGATTATACACTGAATAGAAGGAGATAACTATAGTGAAAAAGTATAAAAAGAAGAACAGTCTATCCAGAACAAGGGCAACTATTCTCCATTCTCTAGCAATCTCCTCTTCTGCATCCTTGTCGGTGATTTTATCAATCACCTTCTTAAGATATGTTTTGATTTCTTTCACGTCACTGGACATAGTATCAAAGTATCCAGACGAGCTGATAGACATCTCAGTTTTGTCCTGTTGTCCATTTTGGCCGTTTGGTTGCTCTTTCCAGCTATTTTCGGCTTGCATTGCAGAATAATTGACTTGGTCGAATATTCCATTCCCATCCTTTCGGTTAGATCCCTGTACGATTCCACTGCTTTCTTGTGCATTTTTCTTTTTTGTCTTTGCTTGTTCGTGCATACACATTATTCTTGCTATACAATCAACCATTACCTAAAAAAAAATAGTTCAAACCATGAGCGAATCCTATGTACTTTATTTAGAATATAAATAACCCATTCTTACATTCTATTTTACCCATTTTTCTATTCTAAAATCCTATTTAACTGGGTTATTGAAATTTTCATCAATATCCGCAAGAAAGAAATAAACAAGATATCACAATGACCAGTATTGCTACATCACCATGCATTTCATGTATCATGGTTTTTGTGAAATTAATGTAAACAAGCAAATTCAAAGAATTGTGGTCCCCCGCCTTCGGTGTCTTTGTAGATGGGTTGCCATTATTTATGGAATATTGTTACTGTCTTTGTTGTGTGTCCTGTCTGGTCTGTGCACTATACAAAAAAGACATGAATGATTGAATTAATAACAGTTATGACAAAGATTATAGCTTTTCAAAACTACGTCAAACTTCATGATCGAGGTCATGAGGTCAAATATCATAACAAAATCCGAAAGGTCTTGTCACAAGTAATGCACATGTGAAAAAAAAAATCAAAAACCAGAGTATACAGTAGGAATGGTTTTGAAACAGGTAATGTACATGTCAAATGTAAATGCCATATCTTCTCTCAATCAAAAGCTAATTGCAGTGTTAACATTTTTGAAAAGTAGGTCAAATTTCAAGGTCAAGGTCATGGGATTAAAAATCATAGTACATCTGGAAATGCTTGACACAGGTAATGCACGTGTCAAATATGAATGTCTTAACTTCACTCCTTCAAAGTTTAGCAGCACTGATGAAACGTTTGAAAAATAGCTCAGACTTGAAGGTCAAGGTCACGGTGTCAAATATCATAGCACATTCGGAAACATTTGACACAGGTAATGCACTTGTCAAATATAAAAGCCCTCTTATATGTCATTCAAAAGAAATCACCAAAGTTAAATTTTTTGATACTAATTATGTAACTTATAATTAAGATGGGTAATTATAGCGAGCGAAACGAGCGGCGCTTGCAAAGCGAGCTCAATGGACTAACGTGTAAGAACAGAGAATATTCGAATTATTACCGTCTTCCTTGGAAGACGGTATACAGAGTTGAAGTATTTTACAGTATTTTACAGTCTTCGGACTATGCACTTCCTCTCTTTTGTGATTGGTAGAAATTATATGATGTGAAAATTTCTAATTATTTCATTGGTTTAAATGTCGTTCAAAGCAAGGGAGAAAATTTTCTGGTGATCTAATTTTCGTACGACTTAACAATTTTTCAAGATTTTAAATGACGAAACGAACAGTTTAAAATGGCCATAAATAAATCTAAATAACATTTTTTTATAGCAATTACTAAAAGGCGTGTCTATATTTTCATTGTAAACAGAAATATTCTATATTGCTTTTTGCTTTATTTTTCTTTTTCTTTGTTTTGCATTGCGTTTCTAATCCATCAGCTTTCTCCGTAAACTCCGACCAGCAGCGGAGTCGAAGTTTACGGAGAAAACCGAGCGTCTGTTTGAACTTCCATATGGTAGGATGTCAGTAAAATGTTGATGAAGAAATTCTCAAGAATAATTCGGCCTGATAGGTGTATGCCAGTTTACTGTTTACGATTGTTGCTAAAGACGGCCAAGTTTTTGATAAAGCTCTACTTGTAATCTGTACATCCGTCAAGCAATTTTTTCTTTGCAACCTTCACAGAACCCCTTTACTACCAGGATTCCATGCGATAATAGCGAATAACAGTCCCGCAGTTTCATGTATCAAAACCGCAGTATGAGTAGTAACGAAAGTTGCAATTAAGAATATCTAAAGGTTATTGGCTGAATTTCGGGGAATATGCCATCCGAGGACTTTAAGCTGTAAAGTGGGCAGAATGAAAAAGCGGGAAAATATGGCTCTGTAAAAGCCCTAGTTCTATGTATATGACTTATTTAGAAATATATCAAGATATGAATTCAGATATAAATATTTTTAAACAGCTGCTTCAGATGTAATTCCATGTTTTAATTACGAAACAATTTTAATCGACTCAAGTTGTAAGTTAGAATTTTTTCCCTCTAATTTGATAAAATAATCATACGTATATTACTACTAAAATATACCTACGTTAAGAAAGAAAACACACTGCTTTCTCACTTCTTTTGACTTCAAAGGATTTGTTTTCTACCTGAACATCTAACATCTTAGTTCTACCAAGCTTTACTTTCTCACAAACTCATGGTTCCGAGGCATATCCCAACGCAATACAGGACGTTTCCAACACTGCTTTTGACACCCAAAATATTTTGTAAATTCTATTAACTTACTAGTATATTTCTAAACAGTACACGACATTCTTCTATTTTTGAAAAGGTACATTTAACACTGATTCGGATAATTTTTACCTAACTATAGTAAGTATAAACTTTTAGAATCATATACAATGCACACTATTTTCCAACTTACTTTTGACAGTTACAAGATTAATTTTACATGTAAAAACACATACATGTATTCTATCGATGTGTTTCTCTCAACCAACAATGTACCTGCTAAGACTCCTAAACAATACAAGCTAAGACCTTATCCACTTTTGACAGTCATAAGATTAAGTTAACAAGAAGTTATTACGCGGATCCCAGATGTTTTCCCCTGCCTACCTGTAGTTTTCACCAGCCAAATACCTTATTTAATTTTGACAGTCTAAATATTGATTGAAAATGAAGCTATAACTCTGAACCTGCAATGAGAGACCAATCTTCCGTTTAGCTTGAGATAAAAAAAAAATACCACAGAGTCTGACACATCTCTTTGATATTTGGATATTTTTTTTTTTAGAAAAGACGTTAATGGTAATCTAACAACAAAGCTTCATGATAAACGTGATGACCTTAACTTTCCAATCGTCAACTTCCCTTACGTATGCAGCAATATACCCCTATCACCTGCATACAGGGTTTATATCTCTCAGTTGATAGGCTAGAGCATGCTCTACGTATGAATAATTTCTAAAACGAGGTAAGTTATTGACAAACAAGTTGATCAAACAAGAATATCAGCAGTCTCGTTTAAGGTCTTCGTTTCGCATTTTTCTTTTCTCATACTAATTATTAGGCCATTATTTACACACTGAATTGTCGACGGATTTTTCCGTTATTTTCCGACCATGACAAGGAGCACACGGCGGGTGTGACCAGTCGGCAGGGGGTGCTCACTCCTCCATGGCAATTGATCCCACCTCTGACGTCTTAGAGGTCCGTGTTTGCTCTGCTCCTATTTTGTAATGTTTAATGGACTTTTTGAGCTCGAATACTGATCGTTATCTCCAGATATTTCATTTATAACTACTGAAAATCAATATGTGCTTAGAAATGTCACGGATGGAAATTTATATAAAGCACTAAAAATGACCAACGACACGAACAATAAAAATTGTCAAATTTTCGGGACGACCTGTCCCTTCCTTAGGACAAAGAAAAAAGTTAAGAAGTCATAAAAACAAAGGAAACAGAGAAACAAAAACAACTAGCACTACTACTAAACTACCAAACACTAAATATTTACAGTGTTACATTTTTAATCTGAAGTTAAATTAAAAATGTAACACTGTAAATATTTAGCGTTCGGCAGTATATATTAGTAGCGAAACTTACCTTTTTAATAGGTCTTGGGACACGTGACTTCGATCCCCGGAAGTAGAGATTTACTATGGCGACGGATAAGAAGGTGGATAGAGTAATCAAAACCATGTTCAGACAGTATAAAGCTCCTGGGAAAAGAACATATCAGTTATTTACAGACATCAATATTCCAAACATCTAAAATTAAATGTAAGGTCAATGACTGTAACAATTATTATATTTCTATATAACTATCTAGCTAGAACAATATCCGTACTTTATTACATGTAGAAACCTTGTTTCATTTAAAATTGAAAGCTTGATAGACATTTAGAATAAAATACATTTGTTTTTCTGACTTTTTTAAACAAACAATGAATTCATAATGATAATTTACCACCATAAAAAAAAATTTAAAATGCATGATGATTAAGAGCCGTTCTCTGTAATGACTTGAATTTTTTTTATACAGGAGCTGTGGTCTCAGGATTTCTTCAAATTATCTTTGATAAAAGTCTTTTATACCGTTAACTCAAATCAGGCCAAAAAAAGTTGTTATGTGTCATTATTACCATGGCAACAAGCCATAAAGTTTGAAAAATGGCATTTTGAATATGTTCAGAGTCCCATTTACATTTTACATGTTCAAAAGCACCAAAAATATACTAAATATTTGAATTATTCGCTGCCCTATATCGTTACATTTTTATTAACGTCTCGTGAGTATACACGAAAATGTCATTCAAATCAATTTCACAGTTGCCTTAGTAGAAAAACACAGCATATGTAAATATTGGTATATGTACGTTATGTACATGTACGTTGTTTTCATGGTTACACTGGAAAGAAGCAATTGATCTCAATTTTTCTTATGTTACCTTTGTAACAAGGTCCTAACGATGTATATTTGCCAGTCTTGAATTTCCCTGTTTTTTTCCTCAAGATAGCAGTATGAATCGAAACTCAGCAACAAATTTTATATGGCTACTGTGTTACCATGGCAATCGTGAAAGTTATTTTTAGAATAATATTGCCAATAGCTTATTACTTGAAATGAAATCAACTAATCTTATTGTTTTTTCTCGTGTTGTTGATTGAGTTTGATCATGTAACAAATATCATTAGAGAATATTACGTGTTTTTCAGCATTTTTATTGTATTCAAAATGTACCCATTATAACCATTAATTCAGAGATATATTCTAAATAGTTTCTTTATTGCATAAGGGGCAACAAGGAGTAATGTTTCTGTGAGAATGGTTTGTTTAAATTTCTTAGTCTTTTTAAGGCTCAGTAAAGATTCAAAGTAGCTGAAAATCTCAATTTTTCACACATTTTCGACTTTTACCATGGCAACCAAGACACATAGCAACCAAATTTTATTTGATTTATGTTTTTGGTGTCAGTACCGATAAGAGGTATCGAATCTGATGCTGGAGGAATAGATTCGTTGAGGAGAAGAAGTAACACAAAAAAGGCGACAAATATATTCATTCCTGAAAATAAAACAAGATTGTTTGACCTCATGTTAAATCTTCATCAACCTTTATCTCATTTTCTAGTTATAATAACTCATCTTAATGTGAGTTAAAAAGAAACACATGGTATGGAGGAGAACTTAAATACATACAAAGCACATGTTAGTATTGAAAGCACCAAGAAGACATTTTACCACGTCTGTGCCACAGGGCCGATTTTAGACCGACTACATAGTTGCGTAGAGTGCCAGCCACGGAGTCCTTGAGAAAGTTCCGAGTTAACTGTTATTTCCTCCGATATTTTGTGCAGGCGTTTTCTCGAAAGCTATTCAGTGGTTTTCAGTGATTCTTTCGGGATAAGAGGCAATAATATGAATTTTGTGCATCAGAAGAGAATTCTAGAAAATTCGGTTCAATGTTATAGCCAGTTTTCTGATTTTAAATGGATTTTTGTTTTCTCAACTACTCTAGAATGGCTAAAGAGATGGTGTTGAGGCATATCAAGTATGATAGATCATGAGTTGTGGATATGCAACGTTAACATTTTTGGTGTTGCAGTACCTCCGGTCGCCAGCAGAAGCGAATTTCAAAAGTTTTTTTTCTCTCTTTCTTCTTCTTCTTCTTTTTTTTTTTTTTTGTTTTTGTTTTTTTGTTTTTGTTTTTTTTTGTTTTTCAATACTTTTTTGTGATTTATGTAATGTAAAAAGACAGTCTTCTTAGAATGCTATGTACATGTATATAATTTGTTTTTTGTATTGGTCCTGATAGCATAATGGTTAGCATGTCGAATTTTCACACTGGCTAAAAGAGTTCAATCACCACAATGTCCGAATTTTTATCGCGTCCGCAATAGAAAATAGCAATAATAAACTAGGGATGTCAATTTTGTCAATAATTCATATTCGAATATTCGATGAAAGTATTCGAATATATTCGAATATTCGATAAAATAAATAAATCTGATGTATTTTAAATATGCATCATCCTACTTTCATGAAAGGTTTAGCGTAGGTATTCTTATACTGGAAGTAAAATTGTGTGCAGGTGTACAATAAGGAATTCCATTTGATATATGTCAATGTTTGAAATAAATAATTGATTTAAATGTAGAAAAATATGATTTTAACAAATTTAATAATTTAATAAATAATAGTAGCTCCAACTGAGGAACTAGTCTTCTTACCAAAGGCAGGATAGTCGTATATATACTGTTTCGCTTTCAATATGTGTAATTAATTACAATTATCAGCCTAATAAGAGATATAATTATAATCTTTGAAAGAATATTTTTAAAATATAAACAAAAATATTTCCATGGACATTTTTCCTAGACAATTAATTAATTTACCGATAATGAATATAAAATTCATAATTATGTACAATCCGAGATACTCAAGTAATATACACATTTATTCTGAAATTAAGCCCTTTACGATATTACATGTAATTACTGACGAATTCAGACACTCATTCAATGATCAATTGAATATATTTTGATAAGTATACTCTTAACGTCTTTTAGACATTCCAAGAAGGTTTTCATTTAATCAAAATTTATTAATCACAGTACTTCTTTTTATGAAATCTGTAAAACACCGAATATTCGAATCTTAAATTTATATTCGAATATCAACTCATCGAATGAATATTCGAATGTTCGAATATTCGTTGACATCCCTACTATAAACCAATTTCTTTGAAAACGCTCACAATGAATAATAGCTTGAAAATAAAATTGCATCAACTATATCTACAATTAATTCTATTGCAAAACAACGATATTATGTTTTATTTTCACTCAATAAAAACGTGGTGGTTGTTGCGGATGAATTTCTACAGAAAGGGTGCGTCGAATGACACGAATAACATTTCGGTAACTGTGTAACAGAACACAACAGGCGGTAAAATGATCACAAAATTACATATACACGAATACAACAAGACTAAAAAGATTTAAATCTAAATCTTAGCTGCAGGGATTTATCAGTACCTTCTCAGGGGCCCCATTCCCAATTGAAAATGAGTTCAATTTTTCCTAGTTTGGCAGTATTTTTTCCCAATTGGTGAACAATGATTTTATATTTAATTATCTTGGGAAAAAACTCAGTAAAATTGTTAGATTGTCTGCAATTTTCCTCTATTTATTTCATGTAGGAAAAAACTACAGTCTTAAAGGTGCTTAGACACAGATTTGAAGTTAATATTTTCTCAAATTTTCTGTATATATATGTTGCTATAGATTTCATACTAAAATATGATAAAAATCTTATTTCATCTCGAAGTTATTAAAACTTCGAATTTCTGGACGCGTTGGATTGACACATCCTTGCGCTTTCACATACTTTAATTTTATTCTTAATACATGTACTTAAGAAAAGTGGCAATTTTGTTGTAGTATTAATGATAAATAATAAAACTATAATCCAGAAAATCAGAGTAGAAATGTTCGAAAGCAAAACCCACCCACAGTATTGTAAGTCCGTGCTCAGTGGTGTGTGCAGAGTTTAACAATTGAACACACCCGGTGAATCGTAAACATTAACAATAACTGAGCTCGTGCCCTGTTTACAAAAACAGTTTACGTTTCACGGGTGTGTTCAATTTGTTAAACTCTGTACACATCACAGAGCACGGACTGACAATACTGGTGAGTTGGTTTTGCTTTCGAACATTTCTACTCCGAATTGTCTGGATTATAGATGTATTATTTTTCATTAATACCACAACAAAATCGCTTCTTTTCTTAAATATTAAGGATAAAGTTAAGATTTGTGTAAGTGCAAAGATATGTTAATCAAACGCGTCCCGGAATTAGTAGTTCCAATAATTTCCAGATAAAATAAGTATTTAATTATATTTTCGTGTGAAATGCTATTGCAATATATAAGTCGTGATAGTAAACAGAAAATTTGAGAAAATATCAAGTTCAAATCTGTGTCTAAGCACCATTAACACGTTTAAAAACACTGTTAGTAAACATCGCCGACTTTTAATCCGAATTTCCTCCGTTTTTCTGAAAATGGTAATATTGTGTAATAATATAGATTTATTAAATTATTTCCACTTATTCAATTGATCTACGAGTGTATGGCAAGAACTGCAGGCATATATATCAGATAGAAAAAGGTATTTTCAATGCATATTAAGATATTAAAGGGGACTTTGAGAAAATGTGTATATTTTTTGCAGGAGGTCTATAATCGCCAGAAACAGATTTTAATCACCTAAATTGGAATATCATACATACATGTACTACCCTAAGTTGTATAAATACTTTATACTCATTGAAGTCATGCAAATTTAGTTTTATTAGTCTATTATCAGTGATTATTGATAATTGATCTGGTATGATGAAATTGGATCATATTTAATTGTCTGGTTGGTTGCCCAAAATTAGAGTTCATGTCGAAATGTTTAATGACTTTCACCTGGATACATGACGTCAGCAAGATTTTTTTAAAAAAAAATTCCCAATCTCAGCAAATAGCCGATACTATTTTCCCAATTCCCTAAAAATGGCGTTTCCCAAAATAGGGTGATAAATCCCTGTAGCTTTACTTATACAATCTTCTAACCAACTTTATCATAAAAACCGATGATATTGTCCAGTATTACTGTATTTCTCCATTTCCTCCATTTCCCTATCGTAACTCGATCGTACTTGTAACAGAGCAGAGTCATGGTTGTAAATAAGATGCAAGATCACTAATACAACGCTTTGACATTGGCAATTGCAAAAAATATTATATAAATTCATGAAATCGTTCATAGTTGTTCAATTGACTGAAAAGAATTTTGCATGAACATGTTCGACGGTGTCTGGTCAATTCGAGCCCTGCTCCATTCGGACCATGACATTAGGCCCCAGACTGTAATTGTGATATTTTGTTTAAAACTATTTTTTTATTATATATCTGAGTCACTCACTTGATTTATTGCTATCTTCAAATTCAAAAAGATCTTTTGAAATTGTTTTTCTTGTTTGACGCCATTGAAGCCTTTCAGGCTTTTGATTTCTCATTTTATTTCAGTTTGAAATAAAGATTTTATCTTTAAAATGATATCTGATATTTTTTTTCGGATTCTATTCTATTCGGATTTTATATGTAGTTATTTTTCACAATATCCATATTTTATCCTATTTCATGAAGGAGTTACAAGGTATGCACAACGTAACACATTGCAACAATGTTTCTTGTTATTTATATTTTTGTCCGTGAAAAAAAAATCTGAGTTGGGTATAATACAAGTGATATGATATCATCTTTCATTATTTAGTATATACATGTATAGTAACACATGCACTTTTGCACAAATAAAGTATTGTTCTCTGTGTCGTCCAATTTCCTGTTTTCGATTTTATCCTTTTTTCGATTTATTTTTCTAGAACTGCTTTAGACCTATATGCAGATATCGCGCGCGGAGATAAAAATAATGTAAAGATAATCAAATTAATTAGTTCAAAGGTGTGTTTTTGTTAACTTTCGTCTTAAATTCTCATCTCTTTACCAAAGTTATTTCTATTTGTTCCGTATTAACTTAATATTACATAGATTTTTAAATGATATTCTTTTAAAAAAAAATCAGCTCTGTTACCAAGACGTATGAATACAACAGTAAAAGGGTTGAGCAGATGATTTTTCCCATGTAGACATACCTGACATTTTCTTCCAGAATAGTGAAAAATGCAAAGTAAATTCACTGAAAATCTTTAGAGGACACAACCACTGATAACAAAGCACAAACAATGAATGAAATTGTTCTGAGACAAACTTTGCAATTATTTTTTTTTAATTGAAGAAAAAAATGACCCTTCTTTCCTTGTGTAGGGTATCTTAAAAACAATTCCCATAATACTGACCGAAAGTCCAGCTTAAATTTTTGCGAAGAAAATCGCACTTCTTCTGATAATGACATACAAATCAAGTTAACACAAAAATAAACTGTAGGTATATTTTTTGCTGAATTTTTCCCTTTGAATAAATGCTATTATGTGTATCAGAAAGTGTTATTTTTCTGGACTATGAAATTAAAAAAAACAATTAAATTATTTGAACATCTAAACTGTAATTGTGGCTTGCATAAATCGCATTCTAGTGAAAACTTTTAAACCAAGAAAAAAAAAAAAAAAAAAAAAAAAAAAAAAAAAAAAGAAGAAGAAAAAGAAAATAAACAACAATAATAACAGAAAACACATTTTTAACAAAACCTGCCTTAAGGTCAGACGACACGTTCCTCAAATTTCTGTTCTGTATCTCTTCATAATATATACAAAAATTATTGATAATCATTATCTTGCGATATCAAAACTTTTTATCTAAATGCCCTAAAAAGATATATGCAGAAATTATTATATTAGCAATTCAAGTGATTTCCCATAGGATTATATAGGAAACAGGATCCTCTGATATCTTGCACAAATGTCTAATATGATACCCTAATTGTTTTAGTAAACTTGTTAAAACACATAGCAATCTTTAATGACAAATTCTTGGGGGAAAATTGTATATCATTGAGGATCGTGTCTTCTGACCTTAATTTCGTAAAAACCTCTTTCATTAAGAGGGGATCATTCTGATCATCCTCATTTTTTTGTATAGCAAAAAAGCACAATGGCGTGTGAGGGTTTAACTCCAAAGTATATTTCAATACAAAATTGGGGAAGGGACAACGATCTTTGGAGAAAAAAATATATATATACATTAAATACAAATTAAATATACAGCAAATGACTATTCCTTAAAATGGGTGTAACACCCCCACTCCATCCCCCATACCACAGGTCCTCAACGAAAAAGATTTTTAACGTAATCGCACTTCTCCTCACAAACACACGCGATCGAGTTCGATATCCATCAAGTTCAATGTTGCACTTTACGTTTTTGCATTTTCTATCCATTTTTAATCCAATTCTTTTATAGTTCTTCCTCCAGTACACCATACCGATATATTTAAATATTTGTTTAAAGTGAAGAATAGAATTTATGATTTAATTTTTTTATCGCTATGGAAATTTATAGCTTAATATTATCTTTGTGTGTATCAGGAAATACAAATTAGTTACTGTAAACATACATACAAACAAGGAATGTACCTAGGAAAAAGAAGTGAAGACAAGATAGAAAATCTTGTTTCATTTAAAATGGAAAGCTTATTTGATTAAATTTAGAATAAGACAATTGTTTTTTTTTCTCTCTCTCTTTTTCAACCAACAATCAATTTTCATAGTGATAACGTTTTTGTTATATTTTCATGTTCTTTTTTAAATTTTCATGAAAATATAACAAAAACGTTATCACTATGAAAATTGATTGTTGGTTAAAAAAAAGAGAGAGAGAAAAAAAAACAATTGTCTTATTCTAAATTTAATCAAATAAGCTTTCCATTTTAAATGAAACAAGATTTTCTATTTCTCCATATATTTCATGTTCTCTTAAAAAAAAGCCAACGCTCAACGCGAGATTTAAAAAATGCTTGGTATGAATGAAATATATGGAGATAACGAACAGTATTCAAGCTCAAAAGCCGTGTGTAAGAGAAAGAGAACTTGAATATACAAAGCTCATGTTAGTATTGAAAGCACCAAGAAGAAATTTAAGGATCGATGCGTGCATTTGAAATACATTATTGCTTATACCAAACTGCATTTTATCAGATGACTCTGGTGGCAGCCAGAACAGCACCAACGTTAGAGACGACAGAAGAATACAAGGAAGAATCAAAATGTAATTATAAAATGCAGGTTTTCGTTTTATCCGAATATTGAAAGTAATGGCAACGTAAGGAGCATCCGGGCAACAAGAGTAAATGATGGTGTCTTTTTCGACGCTAGATCCGAGCACATTCCATTCGTTGCTTTCCACGTAGTCGGACAATTCAAAACCAGTCTCGACTCCGTACAGCTCCTTTAAATCAATTTGTCCGCCATCATAACTCCATGTACTGAATTTTAGTTTACAAGTCTGCATATCAAAAGGGAAGTACATAATGTCTATTTTACAGACACTTTTGAAGATCGCTTGAGGAATCCATAGCACAGTTCCATCGCTTCCGATAACCATATTTGCGTCTCTTCTCTCCTCCATCCTCTCATCAGCGCTAAAAATTGGAAATCAAATTAACTTCGTATAATGGCGTCCACATTTACATCCAGTTCTAAACCAAGTTTAAACAAGAAATGTTATCGACAAATCAAATGCTCTGGTCCATTTCATGTATAAAACAGGATGTGTTTTGAAACATTGATGCCCTCGTATGGCAGGTCATGGCGAAGGTTTAAATTTCTCAAATGCAAGTCGAACTCCAAGGTCCAGGTCAAGAAATAAAAAATAATGGTACCCAAAGAAAGATTTTCTCATAAGGAAGACAAATGTGAAATAAGAAGGTCCTAGCTCCAACTATTCAAAAGTTGTGGCCAACGTTAAAGTTTTTTAAAAGTAAGTCAACATGCAAGGTCAAAGTCAAAATTAAGGAATGGCCTTGTCACAAGGAATACAAGCAATATGTGAAATATAAAAGCCCTAGCACCAATTATTCAAAAGGATGCAAGGTTTAAAGTTTCAAAAGAAGGTCAAAGTCGAAGGTCGAGTTAAAATGATTAAAATCATTGGAACCCATGGGAAGGACTTGTCTCAAGAAATACATCTGTAAAATATAAATGTCCTAGAACTTACCATTCCAAATTTATGGCCTAGGTTAGAGGTTTTAAAAATTAAGCAAAGGTCAAGGTCAAAGAGTCAACATTATTCGTATCCAAGAAATGGCCTTGTCACGAGAAAAACAACTTTAAAATATAATAGCCATAGCACTAACTGTTCAAAAGTTATGGTTATGGTTAAGGTTTTTTAAAAGTATATCAATGTCAAAGGTTAAGGTCGAAAGGCCAACAATAAGAAAATTCTTAACACAAGGAATATACTTAAGAAGTATGAAAGCCCTAGATCCAAACGTTCAAAAGTTATGCCCAAGATTAAAGTTTGATAAAAGTTTGCAGAAGTGGGTCAACCTGCAAGGTCAAATAAGTTGGTACCCAAGGAAGGGTCTTGTCACAAGAAATACACCTGTGAAATATGAAACTCATAGCCCCAACCACACAAAAGTTATGGGCAAGGTTAAAGTTTTGCGGACAAACAGATAGACAGACGGACAGGCTAGGGCAAAAACTATGTGCCCCCGAATCTTCGATTACGGGGGCAAAATAACTACTATATTAGAAAATGTTGTGAATACAGAATTTAGAATCAACTGGGAAATGATAAATCTGACATCAGTTGTAACATTATATAACCATTACCAGATTTTTACCAGAAAAGTTATCATTGCAGTTTAGCAATGAAAACTTACTAGTTGTACAGTTTTATGTCGGGTTCCCAAATGCTGCCCTTCGGCACTCTGATCTTTGTAATGTTGTCATATTCAGATTCATTCCAGGTCATATAAATATCCTTCCATTTCTGTAAAAATGATAAAGACATTAAGTTTAAAGACAATAAATGCAATCTTCATTTTCACTTTTGTAAAAAACAAAAAAAAAAAAACAAAAAAAAAACAAACAAACAAACAAACAAACAAATTTGGAAATCCATTTGCTTCGAAACATATTTAAAATTTGTCATTTGTCTTTGTTTCAAAGTACATTCATGTCCTAAATTACAATAAAGAGCCAAATTTTAAAGATATTTTTTTGAACGAGATTTTTTTTTAAAATATTAAATATAGTAAAGAACCACATTTGTCACAATCGACCATTCTGTTTCAATAAAGATTCCAACCTGAAAGAACATTAGCAAAACACCCTCGCAATTACTTCTGAGAAAGAATAGCACGAAATTAAATTTTTAATAAAGCATTTCAGGCAAGTTTACAAACAAAAATTAATATCACAGCACAATCACACATTTCCCTCTTTATATATATATATATATATATATATATATATATATATATATATATATATATATATATATATATATATATATATATATATATATATAATTCAATTCTAGCATTCATTAAAATTTCGATTTTAAATGTCAAATGTCATTGTGTAATTGTCAAAAGGGGGCTAAAACGATGTGCCTCCGCCCCCCCCCCCCCCCCCCCGTACACAATGTATAAGGTGAGGTGTCAGATAATGAGGGGGTAGTAAAAGGTTCCAACAGCACAAGGTTTAAAAGTGTCACTATCCCAATACACAAGGTATAGTGTGGGATGTCAGATAATGAGGAGGGTATATCGTGAGGTATTCCACGCAGGCTTCAATGTGTCACTTGTTCTGCATCGCCAAAAGAAAACCAGCAATGAGAGGTATGTTAAAAAAGTTTTGCACAATAATGAAAACCTCTTTTTTAGTTTCTCTTTACGCATCATTTAATTAAATAGTGTTTACATTTAGAATGCTCCTACAATTTACATGGAAGTTTTTCGCTAACCAAAAACAAAAATACAGTTTCTCCTAATTATAAATGTTTTTCAGAGTCTCAAACCTCTAGGAATTCTGTAAGTTAAAGTCCTTTTATTCAATGAAGAATTTAAATAATTCTCTAATTCGAACTGAAACGTTCAATTAACATCATTGAATTATTAACAAATGATCATGGAATTATTAATGAATACAGTTATACTGTTATCTCTCTCAGTCTCGCTATATTTCTGCGGGTACAAAAATGTTTAAGTTAAAGAATATAGTATATATAATTATTATCTTTACTGAAGAGTTTAAATTTCTCGTTGCTGTCTTAATTTGTTTGTTTTGTATTAAAACCTATTCAACATTGTTATATCATAATGAAAATTAACTTCCGTAACGACCGCTCCAATACCAAACTTAAAATGTATATTACATTTTTTTTACTGCTGTAGCATATTAGTGTAAGAGAGTTTATCATCTAATAACAATGTGCCTGCTCATTTAACACGTGCGTTGCATCATATGTACAACCCAATTTAGGCGACCTCATGCAGATTCCAACCAAGCCCGCTGCTTTGAAAAGAATCTCTATTGTACTGAAGCTGTAATGTCCATTTCTTTTCACATTGACTAATCAAGTATTTATATAAAGTTTGATGATGCCCAAAAGTCAAATAAAAATCAATGTTAATTTTTTCCAAGCACGGGAAATTTGAAAAATAATCGGAATGGGCTTAAAGACAGACGATATGTTCCTCAATAACATATAATTTTTCCCAAGATTTTGTCATTGGAGTATTGCTATTTTAACATTAAAAATTTTTTAGGTACCTTACCAGGCATTAATGGTGTAATGGTGTACCAGAGGATGGTGTTTCTTATCTACTAGTAATCCTTTTGGGGAAAAACACTTAATTTGTCAATATCAATTCTTTTGTTTCGATTTTTCAAGACAATAAGAAACTGGTTTAATTAGAAACCAGAAGGTAATTAAAATTTTGAATATTTTTCATGCATTTCAACAAAGGTATTCAAAACAGATTATGAGGAACGTATAGTCTCACCTCAAATTTAAGGGGTTGAAATACTGGGAGGTTTTATCTTCCACGGGATGAATCAAACGTATAGAAATTTCGTACAAATAGATCAGCTTTGTTCTTATATTATTTATATATTTACAGACAAATGTAATCAGTGCAACCAAATTGTTCGCCCACGACAGGAGGCTGTTCAGTGTGACCAATGTCACAAGCGGCAACATAGGACATGCAACACTGGTTAGAAATTTATTCAATTCATAATAACAAAACTTGTCAAAAAATAACTGTGGTAAAAAAATTAATGAAATCAACTGTTTTTCTTTATGATGTTTCATTGTAATTTTCAGGAATTAGTAGACCCAAATATAGAAATCTTCTAAAAGGCAAGGGAGAATTTGAATGGATGTGTCCTAAGTGTAAAAATGCCGAGCCTGCTTTTCCACTCCTTGCACAACTGGCAACTCCAGAGGAACCTGCTTCTCCACCCCCGGCACATCCCGAAATGCCTGCATCTCCTGCCCCAGCACAACCCGAAATTCCTGCATCTCCACCCCCAGCACAGCCCGCACTTCCAGCGGAAGCTGCGGAGCAAGACGACAGTACTGAATATGAGCCTCAAGCTGAAGCCACCTTCCATGTGTCTTTGGCTTCTATGGACACCGCTCAGGACAGATCAACAGTATGTGAATTTTAAAGATTTTCAAATTTGATAATAAAAAGAAAAATGCTTTAACAAAATTTATAAATATAGATATTTATTTATGTGAGTTTTGAATGTTTTTGATACTTTTTCCAGGATATCGTCATTGATCGTTCGTTTGATGTGCCCGTTGAAACAGTGGAACGTACAATGCAAGACAAGTCCCTCCACGATGCCACAATAACCATCGATGACCTGACAGTTGAATACTTCATTGCAGCCTCCGGGACGGAACATAGAAAACGAAAGCTGGTTTACAGCATCGGTTTTAGTTACACCATGAAGGTAAAAATATTTTCAAAAATTAATTAGTTCTTCTAATTATTGTTTTAATATTTACATCTAAGGCGATTAAAATTTTTAATGTTCCAACCCATAACATTCTTGATTAAATAATATTTCATCCATTACAGAAACAAAAGAATGACCATGTGTCATGGCGGTGTACCAAAAGTCAAAGACTGTAAACTGTCATCCAGGATGCCATCACATACATATCTGGACAGAAACTGCATGTTCACCCTGGAAATCCAGGATCCCAAATCGCAGTCAAAATCCAAGCTGAGGTACAACTTTTATATGTGCTTCAAAACATTAGGACCAGGCAATAATACCGATTAAAATATTAAAATAAACTCTTTTTATGGCAGGTCAGACAGCATGCTAAAGATGCCATATTTGGTCAGCGCTCTTCAATTATTGTCAATGCTGCTATCCGGGCCCATGCCGACCCGGAAGCACCACCTGACAGCAGGCCGAACCCTGGATACCTCATCAGGACGGCCAACTGTATACGCCAGTTGGATCGTTCACAGGATCCTTCTGACCTTCAAGATGAGGTGTGTTTTTCAACTAAGTCTAAAGAATTCTGACACAAAATGTCAACCAATTACACACATGCAGTGATATTACGTTATTTGCGATTATTGCAGCTCGACCTGGATTTCTTGGAACGCTCTGCCCAGGGATTAATAGTGGGAGAAAAGCGACATCTGATATTCTATACAGAAAGACAGCTTCAACTAAGGCAAAGACGTGGTATATGGATGGGTCATTTCGATGCCTCAACAATCCCTGGAAGCAACTTTTCTCTATCCATGGCTTCGTAGCCACATAAAGCAGACCCCCTTTGCGTTTGTCATTATGTCCGGAAAGAGTAAAGAGACTGCTACCAGGTTATTATTATTTTCGTTTTTTATTTTCTTTCTCAAATATTTCTCAACCATTCTTCATTCTATTATTCTCGAAACTCCAAGTATATTTTTTCTTTTATTCTAATTTTTTTTTAATATTCAATTTCATTTACGTCAAGGGTTCGAATCTCACTGTGGGGCATGGAGACAGGTCCTTCGGATGAGACCGTATAAACCGAGGTCCCGTGTCGCAGTAGGTATTGGCACGATAAAGATCCCTCACTGATCAATGGCCGTAAGTGCCGAGCATAGAACAAAATTTGCAGTTCTCCACCGGCAAGTGGTGGCGTCTCCATATGAGTGAAAAATTCTCGAGAGGGACGTTAAACAATATACAAACAAACAAATCAATTTCATTTTCAATTTATATACATGTATATGTATATTGTATACTTTAGGTTTTTAGGTTCATAGACAGAAGGCTACCTAAACACATCTCGTTGGAGGGGTTGTAGCTGACTTTGAGGCTGCGCTTTGGCAGGCGCTTAAGGAGCGTTTCCCCCGCGTGCCAATCCAGGGTTGTGCCTTTCACTGGACACAAGCCGTGTTCAGGAAGGTCCAGGAGCATGGCTTACAGGTAAGAAATGTTAATTTAGAAAAAAAAAATATTTTACTAACTAATACCCGTGCAGTAAATTAAACTGATGTCAATCTCGATATCAAGATAGAAAAAAAAACAGTTATACGTACGTAGTTAACGAACTTGATTTAACATGCCATGCAATATTGTATTGTTAAAAATGTTAGTAATAAGTCTAGTGCAAGCATTTCAGACTTTATCGGCAAAATTTATTCATTAACTCTTATAGACAGCGTACAACAAACAGTACAAAGTATTCAAGTTCGTCCGCCAGCTACTTGCCTTGCCCTTCCTCCCGCCGGAACACTTGGAAGATGCCTTCCACCGTCTGGATGGCCGTGCTCCAAAAGGTCCTTGCTCCATTGATGGACTACGTTTACAGAACATGGATCAGTAGCACCATCTATGAAATCCATCACTGGAGTGTCTTTATGACAGCCATCTGGACCAACAACGATGTGGAGGGGTGGCACAATAGATTGAATACTAGTGTGGACACCAGGGGACCTGTGCCATTTTACCATCTCATCA